GAGGTGACAGAACCCTGGCCACAGCTGAAGAAGTGGGGCCTACTATATACCAGGGATTGTATTAAGCACTTTGCAAATATTATTTCATTTTATCCTCACTACAACTCTTCGAGGTAGGTGCTTTTATTATCCCCATTTCACAGCTGAGGAAAATGAAGCAGAGGTTAAGTGACTTGCCTAAGATCACACAGGTAGCAAGTGTCTGAGGTTAGATATGAACTTAGGTCTTCCTAACTCCAGGGACAGCTGTCTATCCACTGTGGTACCTGGCAGTATCCAGGCAGTCTGGGACTTTTCCTGAAGTTGGTAAGGCCTAGTTTTAGCAACCCCACTCAGATCCAAGCAGGGCTTTCACACACCATTCAAAATACAGGACCTGCTTTTTACTTGAGTGCAAACCCTCAACCCATTCACTAAAACTGATGACTTGAGCAAAGCAAAGACAGTGCCTTATACTAAGAAGAAATAACTTGGAATGAAAATTGCCCCAGGGGTAGATCTTGAAGAGAGTAATTTCAATCAGATTGTCAGGGAGAGATGTGCACCAGGGCAATGGGGATTTCAGATTCTTACTAGGGCAACCTCAGACCCATATCAGGCCACCTTAATGGGGACAGGTGCCAACTGGCAGCTCTGTCATCCACTGCTCAGTTCTGAGTCACAGATCCTGGATGGAGTGAGAAGGGAACCTGAGCTGGGCGTGGTGTTCGGAGGTAGGGAGGTCCTGAGAGGTATATGGAGAAAAGAGGAAGTTCAGAAAGCAGCAGGAGCAGCAGCATTGTGGTCCAGACCCTAGACCCAAAGCAAGATTCCTTGCTTTGCCTAGTCTGCAGAGCAATAACAAGGGTAGGAATCTCAAACCAAATAGGAACTTAGAGTTCTACCACTTTGAACCAACAGAGACTTTCAGCTGTCTGATAAGAGGTGGAATCCAGCAGCAATCTACTCTTGAACAGACCTAAACTCAGGTTAGGAACATGCAGAGCTCAGACTAGGGGGCCAGCAATTAGACATTGCCCTGTATACTACTTTGGGAACACTGAAAACTTGCAACATTCCCAGCCGGCCCCTGAGCTCCTAGAATAAATCAACACTCAATATCCCAAGAAAGGAGCAACAGGACCACCTTAGACAGTTCTTATAGAAATGTAGCAGAGCCCATCCCCAACATCAAGTCCAAAGTAAAGAAGGAGGTTGGAAGAATGGACAAACGAAAAAAGAACCTCATCATAATGACCTATTTTGATGGAAGGGATGCACAGACACAAATGAAGAAGAGAATGACTCCAAAATGTCTGTAAGCAATGCTTCAGAGAAAAACACAGGTTGGGCACAAACTCAGGTAGAATCCCTGGAAGAGAAGAAGCAAAGGTTATTGAGACACACACACATACACACACACACACACACACACACACACACACACAGAGAGAGAGAGAGAAGGTTTTTATAAATAGAATGGGAGCACCCGAGGAAAAAATTGGAAAAGAAATTGGTGATATGGAAGAAAAAATTGGAAAGAGAACTAATAGGTTAGCATAAGAGGTTCAAAACCTTGCCCAAGCAACAAATATTCGGAAAATTAAAATGAAGCCAATGACTCCATGGGGCAACAAGAGACATTAAAACAAAATCAAAAGGCTGAAAAAATAGAAGAAAATGGAAGAAAATGTAATCTCATAGCAAGAGCAACTGACTTGGAAAACAGATCAAGGAGAATAAATTTAAGACTCATTGGACAATCTGAATGCCATGACAAAAATAAACATATGAAAATAAAAAGCCTAGATATCCAAAAAACTGCTCAAATTTCAGAACCAGAGGGAAAAGGAAAAATAGATTAGTGATTAAGTTCCTAAAAGAAAATTTCCCAGCACATCATAGTCAAAATCCAGAGCTTCCAGGGCAAAGAAAAAATACTTCAAGCAGCCAGAAAGAATGATTCAAGTACTGTGGAGCTATGGTCAGGATCATACATGATTTAG